GCTCCACCATATCAGTAATAACTGGAGTTACTTCAAGTCCTGCCCCAGCTACATCCGTTGGTTCTGATGCTAATGCTCCTAAAGTTACAATTTCTGAACCTGCTGCTGTGCCTGCATTACAGAATGCTACACCAGGTGCATTTGAGCTGTCTGTGGAAGTAAGAGTGGCTTCCTCCTCTTCTGAAGTTCCTGGAAGTTCTGGTGTTCCAGCTAAATCACCAAGCACTATTTCAACGGCAATGTATGGGATTCATTACCTGACGACTGTTGCATCTTTTGGTAATTTGTACTGATGTTTTACTCCCAAAATTTCAGGGCTAGCACGGACCATCCATCGTCCCATGCGGGAGTTAGTCCTTCGGTTGCAGCTTCTATCCAGGATACTGAGGTATTCATGTTTCTTTAAGGTCCTTATTCACGGTTGTAACGTTAGCCAAAACAGTTACTATTCTACTCCTATTTACTAGCCTGCCTTTCGCCCTCTGTTTTTCCTTCTCTTCTGAACTCTCTCTCTCCCTCTCTCTCTCTCTCTCTCTACCTCTCTCCCTCTCTCTCTCTCTCTCTCTCTATATATATATATATATATATATATATATATCCTTTAGTCATTGAAGTACAAATAGTGAATGTTAGTGCTTGGCTTGATTTATATTCAGGATGAAAATAAAGGAACAAGCCTTGGTGGAAAACCAAATGTTACACCAGCAGAAGAGAAAGCGATAGATGATGAAACCGTAGTATATGCTACCAAGCAGGTGATTATTTTGAAGTCATTTCTTCAGTAATTTTACACCTGTATTGTGTAGTTTTATATGGCGAATGGCGAGGCGATTCGCCCATAGCCTCGCTACGCAGCCAGGAGATTTTCCATGGCGAGGCCTCGGCAACACAAGCCATCAAAGTTTTTAAAAAATGATATAGTGATATCATATATTTTAGATTAAGTGCAAGAATAACCTTAAATATCCTCAAAGAAAATAAAATAAATTAAATTTAAATGTAATTACTAATAGCATCTAAATTTTAAATGTGTATGCTACAGTATTACAAAGAAAAATATTTAAGTTATGTTTTGTGGTAAATATAAAATAGAAAAAAAAAATGTTACAGAAAGTAAATAAAAAGTAAATGCAAGAACTACCTTTGACTATTGACCATACTATTAAACATAAATAAAGTAAAAAAATGAAGAAAGAGGAAAAAAGAAATAGAGAGGCAGGAAATCGGGAACGGGAAAACAGAGAAAAGTGAAAAGGAAAAAGGAGGAAAAGGCACTCATTGCCGGCAGTCCTGGTGGCCGGCGGCCATAAGAGGCGGGAAATGGGGATAAGTTGGCCTTGGGTTTCTGCAATTTCCAAATCTTAGAAGCTTAAAAATTCCTTTAGCAGAAACCCTAGTTTGGGGAGGAGCTTGATTTTTCCTCCTTTTTTTTTAATGTGCTGTGATGGGGTGAAAGGCGTGCCTTTGCCTCGCCTTTGGCGAGAGTGAGGCGTCACGAGGTGCTGTGAGGCGTCCACCTCGGCGATGGGACTGCCTCTCGCAGGGGCGAGGCGATCTTTCCTTCGCCTCGGTTGCCTCTCGCCATGGCGCCGCCATTTAAAATTATGTGTATTAGAAGATCTGGTTCTGATATCCTTTTGTTCAGGAAGCCAAAAGTGCATTCAAAGCATTATTAGAGTCTTCAAATGTTGAGGCTGATTGGACTTGGGACCAGGTAAATAGAACAAACTGCAATGATCCAGTGAATCTTTTGAGGTGGCTAAGTTTTGATTTATGATGCCATAACAGGCTATGAGAGTGATAATTAATGACAAAAGATATGGTGCTCTGAAAACCCTTGGTGAACGAAAGCAAGCTTTCAATGAGGTATTTCATATTAACTCCTGAGTTATATAACAATTTATCAGTCGTCTGCAGAGTCTAGAGTTCATTTACACTGTTTAGGGATGTTCCAGACTCTTATATTGATCTTTTTTGTATTGAAGTATTTGATGCAACGGAAAAAAGTGGAAGCTGAGGAGAGACGTCTGAGGCAGAGAAAAGCAAAGGAGGATTTTATGCAGATGCTAGAAGTAAGGATTAAGCCCCTTTTCAGTTCTTTTAAGTTGACTAGTTCATCATATTTTACTTATATCTCTAAACTTTGTGGGTAATTGGGGCGAGCAACCTTGAAATGATAATCTTTCTGAGTGATTGCCGTTATGACCAAACTTCACACCTCAACATTGGTCACATACAAATTTTACTCACTTTGCTTAGTTGCATATTGATTTTTGATTTTGTGCAGCCCACACTGAACAAATTGCATTTGTAGTGTTCTCTTTTTGGGATGTGCTAATTCATGAACTAATTAAGTTTTTGAATTTGCTGTCAGGAATCTGAAGAACTCACATCATCCACAAGATGGAGGTTGTTCATGCTCTCTTTTACTAAGAATGATGGTCGAGATTTTTTTATTTTATTTTTTGTTATATATATGTATTTTGCATTATCCAGCAAAGCAATTACAATGTTTGAAGACGATAGACGGTTCAAAGCTGTTGAGTTGGAAACAGATCGCGAGGATCTCTTTAGAAACCATATAGTGGACCTGCATAAAAAGGTAGATGGTGCCATAATTATGTCAGCTTTTCCTGATATCTTGTAATGATTTTTTGCTTATTTGTACAGCGGAAAACATGTGGTTGTCAGTTGTCTAGATGTTGGCTTAATCCAAGGGTTATCTATATATATTGTTGTTCACTAAATAACATCTCCTGTTAGCATTTGGATAAAGTTTTCAACCGGTTAGAATTATTGATATGATATCACTGTTGTGGGTCTGATGCAACTAAAAAAATTAAATGCAGTGTAGGTGTATGAGTTGCTAAGTATATGATCATACTGCTTTCATTTGTGTAGTCTGATGTCCATATAGAAGTTTTGGCTTAACTGATTAGTGAATTTAAAATTATGCTGTATCCGTTGTTTGTAGCCGTTGGTATTGAGCAGATGTTACAAAGGCTGTTTTCAGATTGATTTGTTTCCTCAACATATATCAATTCCAAAGTAGCCCTCTTATATTCACCTGTTAAGATTGCTGGAACGACACATCGTGACTGTAATGTTTGAAGCCTGAGGATTTTCTTTTGTGTTGTTCAGGAGAAGGCAAAGGCTCAAGAGGAGTACCGGCGGAATAGGCAGGAATTTAGGCAATTTCTTGAATCATGTTCATTTATCAAGGTATTTTTTGTTTATTTTTTCAATCCTTTTCCTAAATGTCTTATTTTCTTTTGCTAGAAGTGTGCTGATAATTTGAAATCATTTTCTTTATAATTATTAGGTGGACAGCCAATGGCGTAAGATTCAGGATCAACTGGAAGATGACGAAAGATGCACGCGCCTTGATAAAATAGATCGGCTGGATATTTTTCAGGTCAGGTGCACATACATTATAGGAAGTCGTCAATATACTTTTAGGGTCTTTAGATACTGAGTCTTATGTCCTTTTGTTTACCTCCTCTTTCATGTCACCTCACTTTGGATGAAGTGATGATGGTTGAGATAAAAGTTCCTATTTGTGAGCCTGTAGCCTCTAGAGGACTAGGTAAAATTTGTGATTTATTGTTGATATTTATTTGCTGTTGCTGCAGGATTATATCCGTGACTTGGAGAAGGAGGAGGATGAGCTGAAGAAGAGGCAAAAGGTATTTTTCTGGGCATCTTCTTAATTAGTTCAATTTTAATCCCATTTTGTGGTGTTTGACTTGTTCTTTTTGCACATCAAGGAACAATTGAGACGCACTGAGCGAAAAAATCGCGATGCATTTCGCAAGATGATGGAAGAGCACATTGCTGATGGCACTCTTACTGCTAAAACCCATTGGCGCGATTATTGCCAGAAAGTATATCTCCTTCTTTCTATCCCTGATCACACACTACTTCTTGTCAGTTAGCAGATTTCT